ACTGGTTTGGCTCAGTGGATAGAGCGTCGGCCTGCGGACTGAGGGGTCCCCGGTTCGATTCCGGTCAAGGGCAGGTACCTGGGTTGTGGGCATATCCCCAGTGGGAGATGTGCAGGAGGCAGCTGATCGATGTTTCTCTCTCATCGATGTTTCTAACTCTCTATCTCTCTCCCTTCCTCTCTGTAAAAAATCAATAAAATATATTAAAAAAAAGAACAAAATTTTAAAAAAATTATTAAAGAGCACAATGAAGTATTTACTTATGGCAAAATTATACAAGAATTGTAATACATTCTCTTTCACAAAAACAATGAAATTAAAACTTTGACTTCTTCTGTCCCCAGAGATTATAGAAATATGCTTATTTACATAGAAATAAGCATATATTTTTATATAGAAATAAGCATATTTCACTCTTTATATAGTCTTATTTTCTATAATATGAACTCCATGTTTACATACATGCTACAAGTTAATGTTTGGGGGAGAAGACCATTTTTAGAAGATTTCTAAATATATTTAAAAAGATAAATTAACTTTTTAAAAGCCACTTCATTCACTCAGAGCTGTTCATGCTTTTTTTTTTAAATATATTTTTATTGATTTTTTACAGAGAGGAGGGGAGAAGGATAGAGAGTTAGAAATATCGATGAGAGAGAAACATTGATCAGCTGCCTCTTGCACACCCCCTGCTGGGGATGTGCCTGCAACCAAGGTACATGCCCTTGACCGGAATCAAACCTGGGACCCTTGAGTCCGCAGGCCGATGCTCTATCCGCTGAGCCAAACCGGTAGGGCTGTTCATGCTTTTGTCAATTCACAGTTAGAGACTACTAGCAAAATTCCAGACTATGAAAAAGCTCAACACGGGAGTAATTTTAACCCTTTCCATTATTGGCAAACCAGACTGATAGAGTATGCTTCTAAATTGTGGGAAGATAATGATGACATCACGAAACAAATTTAAAAAATATATATATTTTATTGATTTTTCGCAGAGAGGAAGGGAGAGGGATAGAGAGTTAGAAACATCGATGAGAGAGAAACATCGATCAGCTGCCTCCTGCACTCCCTACTGGGGATGTGCCCACAACCAAGATACATGCCCTTGACCGGAATCGAACTTGGAACCCTTCAGTCCGCAGGCCGACACTCTGTCCACTGAACCAAACCGGCTTAGGGCCACAAAACAAATTTAAGTTGCTTTATGTGATGATTATTTTCTTAAATTTTTATTAATTTTAGAGAAAGGAAGGGAGGGAGGGAGGGAGTTCGAGCGAGAACCAGAGTGAGAGTGAGAGTGAGAGAGATTGACCGATTGTTCTACCCATCTATGCACTCATTGATTCTTGTATGTGCCATGACCCTCAATGCAACTTGCAACCCTGGTGCCATGGATGATGCTCTCCAACCAACCAAGTTACCTGTCCTGGACTGTGATGTTTATATTTAAGTAGGTCATAATATTTCCCTTAAACTTTGTGATCAATTTCTTATTCCCCATACCTAGAACTGATTACTACTTTACCACCTCTTTCCCTTTATTTGCCTTACAAAATTAACAACTTCTAGCCCTGGTCAGTTTGGCTCAGCGGATAGAGCGTCGGCCTGCGGACTCAAGGGTCCCAGGTTCGATTCCAGTCAAGGTCATGTACCTTTGTTGCAGGCAAATCCCCAGTAGGGGGTACGCAGGAGGCAGCTGATCGATGTTTCTCTCTCATTGATGTTTCTAACTCTCTATCCCTTTCCCTTCCTCTCTGTAAAAAATCAATAAAATATATTTAAAAAATAAAAAAATAAAAAAATTGATCATGTCAATCAATAAAGTTCTTTTTTGCTATTAGTGATTGTGGACACACTTAAATTCAGTCCTCTGAAAAATATCAGAGATAATGAATGCTGCAATTAAAATTGATGAATTGTTTCTGCATTCCTTTAATTAATTTTAAAATTTGGCCTGGGAATTTCTTTCCTCTTAGGAAACTGTTAGGATTAATCTTGTGAAATGGCATCTAATACTTGCCAAGTATTTTCTAATTTCTGCCAACTGAGGTTGCAGATTTCTCTCCCAAAAGACTGACACTAATTATACATGTTTGAATCTAGACTTGGCCTCCTACTCATACTTGTTAGTGAATTTGAAAAAATACACACACACACACACACCCTGGTACAACTGGTCCCCATCAGCTAATGGCTGAGATAACATGCAAAGGCATGGATAAACCTGATTACAAATTACAGTATTTGTGAATCTCTGGTGAGAAGCCATTTCCAGAGTTACACTACCATGAAATCCCTTGAAATATGTCCAACAGGGGTAATAAACTATGAATTAGGATGCAATAGGTCTGAATTTTCAAAAATTCCTTGTGTGAAAGGCAGTTTTCCCACAGCACTTATTTTGATAAGGGAAGATACTGTTAAGAGTTGCAGTCTTCTAAATTCTATCATAAATTCAGTTCCTCCATTTTCAGTTCATCATCTACGCTGTTACCAGATTAATCTTTCTAGAATACATGTGTTCTCCCCTTAAAAAAACCTTCAATAGTTTCCATTGTCAGAGCAATAAGTTGAAAACAATTAGCCTGATATTCAGTGCCATTATTTGGTTGTGACCAACTTTCAAAACCTTACTTTGAATTATTCCCTTGCGCTCTGGACTACCTAGGCCAGGGGTTGTACAGCCTGTGGATCAAATCCAGCAGGCTGCCAATTTTTGTATTTTTAAAGGTTTGAAAATAATATTTTGTGACATGTGAACATAAATTTAAATTTCAGCATTCTTAGTGCGTTGTTTTAAGCACAGCTATTTTCTTTAAACATATTTTCTGTGGTTGATTTCATACTAAGATAGCAAATTCCAAATTTGCAAGAGACGCTTATGGCCTTATCTGGCCCTTTACATAGTTTGCCCACTCCTTACCTAAACATACTTCTGTTTCTATCTCTTCACCTACCAAGATTCCTGCCTGGAATGTACTACTCCCACTCATTCCTGCTGTCATCTCTATGAGGTATCAAAGCAGAATTTTTAAAAATTTTTAAACATGCCGAAACCGGTTTGGCTCAGTGGATAGAGCGTCAGCCTGCGGACTGAAAGGTCCCAGGTTCGATTCCGGTCAAGGGCATGTACCTGGGTTGCGGGCACATCCCCAGTGGGAGATGTGCAGGAGGCAGCTGACCGATGTTTCTCTCTCATCGATGTTTCTGACTCTCTGTCTCTCTCCCTTCCTCTCTGTAAAAAATCAATAAAAATATATTAAAAAAAATTTTTTAAACATGATTCTCCCACAGATATAAAATTGTGAGCCAAACATTTAACTGGTTGACAGAACCAGCAAGATGGTAGAGCTGGTTCCAGGAACATTTACGGAAGTAGATATTTATAGGCATAAAAAGAATTACAATAAGGTTGTAGGTTAAACAAAACTGTCATACAAAGTAACAAAACTAACTTTGAGGCTGGCTTTTCTAGCAGCCACGAACCCGCATCGTAACAAGTAAATTCACAATGCTTGAACTCCGGTTATATTATTATAATAAACAGCAGTCACACACAGCTATCCCCCCCTGGAGAGCAATCCTTGGGCACAGGCTGCTTAAAAGGGTCCCAAGTAGGGCCGAAACCGGTTTGGCTCAGTGGATAGAGCGTCGGCCTGCGGACTGAGAGGTCCCCAGTTCGATTCCGGTCAAGGGCATGTACCTGGGTTGCGGGCACATCCCCAGTGGGGGGTGTGCAGGAGGCAGCTGATCGATGTTTCTCTCTCATCGATGTTTCTGGCTCTCTATCTCTCTCCCTTCCTCTCTGTAAAAAAATCAATAAAATATATTAAAAAAAAAAAAAAAAAAAGGGTCCCAAGTAGGAACGGAAAGGCCAGCATCCCTCCACTCCCTGCCTCATCTCCACGTTTCAGGTCGTTTTCCTTAACAAGGTCCGCCCTAATCCTTCAGGGTCAACCTCGACCTCTCCTGCTTGTATGCTCCCATTTGACCTGTTGTGCTTCCATTGTCCTGATTTGTGTATTTGATTTTCCCCACGGGCGGTGGGCTCCTTAGGGCCAACCTGTGCGAGCTGAGCTTTCACCTGTTGAACGGGACTTGAGCACAGGGTCCCACGTCCGTAGTTCCCAGCGCCTGCCTCGCCCAGCAGACACTAACGCCGAAGATGAAGCCCCAACACTTCCCAAAGCCTCCTTTGTGTTCTAACTGGCGCCGCGTTGGTCTGTTTCTCCCCGACGCCATGCTGTGTGGCCCTCCGGAGCCAACAGGTGCCCTTTCCGTCCCCTCGGTTACTACCCCTCATTGCAGCCTAACCCGGGGCCTAGCACCAGGCGGTGCTTCCAGAGATCGGCTGAAGAGATGGGGCCCCTCCCCCCAGCGGAGGTGCCTGGAGTCCGCGAGTGTCCGCCTCTCGGTGCCCACAAGCCTCCTCTCCACTCACGTGACCTGCCCGTCGCACCCACAGCACTGACCCCCCAAAGCCCAGGCGACCGCCGGACGCCAGCGGCCAGCGCTCCTCCTCAGCCAGAGACCTCTTTCCAACCTTCTGAAAAATGGCGAGCGGGGCCAGGCCCTCCATTCTCAAGTTAACCCTTTTCCGCAACTATCACCAGCACAGGCCATCTTTTCACATCTTTTTTTTTTTTTTTGGGTGGAATGTTTTCCTCCGGGGTTGGTTTGTGCCCTCCAGAGTCATTAAGCCCCCATTTCATTTCTCAAGCCTCCCGACTCCGTGCGTCCCTCCGCCTCAGCCTTCCTCCCGCCGTCGCCGCAGCCGTTTCCCGGGGAGATCGCCCACAGCACGCGGGGAGGCAGTTAGCTGGCCAACGGTTTTCCAAGGCCCGGGGCGGGGGACGCGGGAGGAGAGGCGGGAAGGAGTGGGGTCGCCGGCGGCCGGCGGAGGGAGGGGCCAACGCCGGGAAGAATCGCGAAGAGCTGGGAGGCCCCGCCCCTTCCGTAGATATCTCTAGAAAGCCGCGCAGGAGCCCGACAACAAAGAGTGCGCAGGCGCGGCGGCAGGACCCGGGCATTTTGCTGCGTCACCAGCCGCCGCCCGGCCTCACCAGCCCTCGCTCTCACGCACGCACGTTCGTTTTCCATCCTCGCGCCCCTTTTCCTACACTTTCCTCCTCTTCCCGACCGGAGGAGCCGCTCTCTCCGCGCGGTGCATTCTGGGGACCAGGTCGAGCCCGCCGCTGCCGCCGTCGCTGAGGGAAGCGAGTAGAGGCCGCACCGCGGAGAAAACGTCGGAGTCGCCACCGGAGCTTAGTCCACTGCCCAGCAGCTGCCGCCGGAGAGGCCCACCCACCCATTCACCCGTTCCCCTGCCCCGTTCACGATGTGAGTGCGACACCCCGCCGAGGGAAGGTCTCCCCGGCGGGATGCCGAGGCCGCGCTGGGTGCTGCCGGGAAGCCGCCCCTTCCCCTCCCCCGCTTTCGCCCCTCGGCTTTCTCCCCTCAATGGTGGCAGTGGTTCTTGGCTGAGGGTGGGAGGCCCCGTGTCTTTATTCCGGTTACCGTTGGCGGATGGAGGACATTTTTCCTCCAGATGTCCGCTTCCCCCACTTCTAAACCGTCCCTCAGCTTCCCCGCGCCGGAAACCCCACTTTTCTCCTCTTGGCAGTCCGTGTGATTCCCAACTCCCCGAACTTAGCCTTAGGCCTTAATATACCGCGAGTTTTTTGCCATGCGGCGCCCCGGAGGCGTGGACCCTCTGGGGTCGCTCGGCCCTGGGGCAGTCTGGTTCTGCCGCTCGGTGAGACCTGTCCCAGGCCCTGGGCCAAGTGCACCTGTGGTGGGCGCTGCCAGAGGCCGGGGAGCGCCACGCGGGCCTCCTCCATGAACGGGGAGGGACTGCTAGGCAACCGGAGGCAGGCCACGCCGTCTCCACAACTTAGTTCCCTCTCGGATGTCGTGATTTCTCGAGCGTGGGTCTTCCCAGGGCCTCTCCTGACTCCGATCTCTCGAAGGGAGTGGAGGTTGCCATAGCGTAGGTAGTTCTGCACGTGTCCCGTCCAAAGGTACTTGTGGACATGTTGTGTGTTAACTGTAAGCGAGGTTCCATTATCCCGTCTTAACTTAGAGATGAAATAGGTATGTATTTGCTTTCTTGTCTTAAAGAGTTTAAATTTGTTTTAACTACAGATTCTTTAGCAATTTTAGGTTTCTTACGATCAAGGGAGAGCATGGGTGATTTTAACTGAATAAGATTTCTTGGCACTGCCACTTCCAGACCTTAAACATTCTCTACAGGAAAAGCTTTACGTTTTCAGATGTGAGAATTGCCGGTTATTTACAGTTGTTGTGGGTTGTGGGTTTTGGGGGTTTTTTTGCTGGTTGGTTTTTTTTTGTTTTTTTTTTTTTATTTTTATTAACTGCTCCCTGAAAGTAATGTATGGAAAGCAGTTGAAGGGAAACAATTTTTATTCCTATAAAAAGTAATGCACTTTCAAGTGTTTTCTAAATAAGATAATAACATTAAGTAACATTGGGCTGGATTTCTAAATAGAAAGGATACACCCAGCCAGTTGATGTCTGGAGAACAAGCTTCAAGAAGTATGCATGTATTACTGAAAACCCCTTAATGTATTTATTGGGATTTTGGAAGAAATTTCCCAGCCGAAAAAATGGTATCCAGTAGAAGGTTTTAATCTGTTTTTTTTTCTTTCAAAATCTCTATTCCAAATAATGTGACAGGAATGTCAGTCTTAAAAAATCTGAGTAGAAAATGAATCCTCAGATAAAGCATTACCAGCTTTTAATAGACTACTATAGCCAAACAAAATATCTTTTTACAAAGAAATACCATTGTTGTTTTTCTTTAATCAACTTTTTAAAAGTTTGTCTAGTAGCTTACATAAAAGTTCTCAGCCCTAGCGGGTTTGCCTCAGTGGATAGAGAGTCAGACTATGGACTGAAGAGTCATGGGTTCCTTCCCGCCAGGGGCACATGCCAGGGTTTCAGGCTCGTTCCCCAGTAGGGGGGGTGCAGGAGGCAGCCAATCAATGATTCTCTCTAATCATTGATGTTTTGCTCTCCCTCTCCCTTCCTCTCCGAAATCAATAAAAATATATTTAAAAAAAAAAAGAGAATTAAAAAATAAGTTCTCGCCGAAACCGGTTTGACTCGGTGGATAGAGTGTCGGCCTTCGGACTGAAAGGTCCCAGGTTCGATTCCGGTCAAGGGCATGTACTTGGGTTGCGGGCACATCCCCAGTGGGGAGTGTGCAGGAGGCAGCTGGTCGATGTTTCTCTCTCATCGATGTTTCTAACTCTCTATCTCTCTCCCTTCCTCTCTGTAAAAAATCAATAAAATATATTAAAAAGCCAAAACCGGTTTGGCTCAGTGGATGGAGCATCAGCCTGCGGACTGAAGGGTCCCAGGTTCGATTCCGGTCAAGGGCATGTACCTGGGTTGCGGGCACATCCCCAATGGGAGATGTGCTGGAGGCAGCTGATCGATGTTTCTCTCTCATCGATGTTTCTAACTCTCTGTCCCTCTCCCTTCCTCTCTGTAAGAAATAAATAAAATATATAAAAATATATATATATATATATTAAAAAAAAAAATAAGTTCTCTATCTCCCACCTGTCTTGAAGAAGTTGAGGATTTGGGGTCCTTCCTTTGCCTCATAAGACCTGCCCAACCAATTAAGGAGAATGGGGACAGAGGATAGTACTACCTTTTTAAAAAAAATTAACTGTTGTAGTTGGTTTATTTCTAAGTTGAACCCACTAACAACAGATATAAAGTAAAATATTAGTTTTGAGCTATTTGAAGTGATTATTTTTTAAAAAATATGTTTATTGATTTCTGAGAGGAAGAAGAGAGAGAGAAACATCAACAATGAAAGGGAATCATTGATCAGCTGCCTACTGCATGCCCCCTACCAGGGATGGAGCCTGCAACCCAGGCATGTGCCCTGACTGGTTTGCAGTCAAACTGCCCTTCTGGTTCATAGGTTCATACTCAACCCATGAGCCACATGGGCTGGGCTGAAGTAATTTTTTTAAAATATATTTTTATTGATTTCAGAGAGGAAGGGAGATAGAGATAGAAACATCAGTGATGAGAGAGAATCATTGATTGACTGCCACCTGCACACCCCCTACTGGGGATGGAGCCCGCATGTGCCCTTGACTGAAATTGAACCCGGGACCCTCCAGTCTGCAGGCTGACGCTCTATCCACTGAGCCAAACCAGCTAGGGCTGAAGTAATTCTTTTTTTTTTTTTTTTTTTTTTTTATATATATTTTATTGATTTTTTACAGAGAGGAAGGGAGAGAGATAGAGAGTTAGAAACATCGATGAGAGAGAATCATCAATCAGCTGCCTCCTGCACATCTCCTACTGGGGATGTGCCCGCAACCCAGGTACATGCCCTTGACCGGAATCGAACCTGGGACCTCTCAGTCTGCAGGCCGACGCTCTATCCACTGAGCCAAACCAGCTAGGGCTGAAGTAATTCTTTATGGCAGTGGTTCTCAACCTTCCTAATGCCGCGACCCTTTAATGCAGTTCCTCATGTGACTCCCAATTTCATTGTTACAAATTGAACATATTTAAGCATAGTGATTAATCACAAAAACAGTATGTAATTATATATGTGTTTTCCGATGGTCTTAGGCGACCCCTGTGAAAGGGTCGTTTGACCCCCAAAGGGGTCGCGACCCACAGGTTGAGAACCTCTGCTTTATGGTGTCTTGTATTTAAACTAACAAATGGTTTAAAAAACATACTGTGACTCTCTCAAACATTTGTTAAAATCTTTACTTTGCCATCATTCAACTTTGTTAGGATTGAGTCCCCCAAATAAAATTATCAGTCTTTTTTTTTAAAAAAATATTTTTTATTGGTTTTTTACAGAAAAGAAGGGAGAGGGATAGAGAGTTAGAAACATCGATCAGCTGCCTCCTGCACACCCCCCCTGGGGATGTGCCCGCAACCAAGGTACATGCCCTTGACCGGAATCGAACCCAGGACCCTTCAGTCCGCAGGCTAACGCTCTATCCACTGAGCCAAACCGGCCAGGGCTATCAGTCTTTTTTTTTTTTAAAGCATGTCATTTTATTGGAACTACATTTTCTTTTTTTAAATATATATTTTATTGATTTTTTACAGAGAGGAAGGGTGAGGGATAGAGAGTTAGAAACATCCATGAGAGAGAAACACTGATCAGCTGCCTCCTGCACACCCCCTACTGGGGATGTGCCCGCAACCAAGGTACATGCCCTTGACTGGAATCGAACCTGGAACCATTCAGTCCGCAGGCCGACACTCTATCCACTGAGCCAAACCAGTCAGGGCTTTCTATTGATTTTTAGGGAGAGTGGAAGAGAGAGGGAAAGACAGAAACATCGATGTGAGAGAAACACATCGATTGGTTGCCTCCTGCACACCCCCCCAACCAGGGAGGAGCCTGCAACCAAGGTACGTGCCTTTGACTGAACTCGAACCCGGGAGCCGTTGGTCCAAAGGCTAAGCTCTACTGAGCCAACCGGCTAGGGCTAAAATTATCAGTCTTTAGCCTCCAAAATAATTTGTAATAGCATATTGTTAATTTCTGTAAGTTAAGGAAGAGTAACTGATGATGGCCTTTGTTAAGTGTTGATTTCCTAACCACTGTAACTTGGCAACTGGGCCCCCCCCCCCCCCCCCCCCCCCCCCCCCCCGCCCCTCCCCTTAGTTAGACTTTAACTAGAAGGCAGTAGAAACTGGAACTGACAAATCTGTAGAGTGCAGACCAGTATGTACTGTATTGTTAATTAAGATTCTTCTGTTTAATTGTATTTTCTAGTTTTAAAATCTAGAAGCAATATTATTTTGGGGTCTTAAAAAGTTAGTGATTGTCACTTTTCAGGAAAAAAATGCTTTTGTAATATCAACTGTTTAGAATCAACCTAGCTCTTAAAAGCTTTTAGATCATATTTTATCTGACTTCTTACATTGAAAATTATTGTATTTAGTTTATTTTGCTATGGAAGTACTAAGTTTGTTGTTGTAAACTATTTACTGTGTAGATTGGCAGTGATAGGTTTTATTTATTTAGTTATTAATATATTTTTATTGATTTCAAAGAGGGAGAGCCCTAACCAGTTTGTCTCAGTGGATAGAGCGTCTGCCTGCAGACTGAAAGGTCCCAGGTTCGACTCCAGTCAAGGGCATGTACCTTGGTTGCAGGCATATCCCCAGTAGAAGGTGTGCAGGAAGCAGCTGATCGATTTTTCTCTCTCATCGATGTTTCTAACTATCCCTCTCCCTCTCTGTAAAAAATCAAAATATATTTTAAAAAAACAACTTATTTTCTTAAAAAAAAAAAAAAAGATGGTGAGAGATAGAAACATCAGTGATAAGAGAGAATCACTGATTGCTGTCTCTTGAAAGGCCCCCTACTGGGGATGGAGCCTGCAACCAGGCATGTGCCCTGACCTGTATTTGAACCATGACCTCATGGTTCATAGGTCAACACTCAACCACCGAACCATGCCGGCCATGTGGTAGTGACATTTTAAATTGAAGCTAACTTACCCACTTTCCAAGTACATTTATTTTATTTTATTTTTTTATTATTTTTTTAATATATTTTGTTTACAGAGAGGAAGGGAGAGAGATAGAGAGTTAGAAACATTGATGAGAGAGAAACATCGATCAGCTGCCTTCTGCACATCCCCCACTGGGGATGTGCCCGCAACCGAGGCACATGCCCTTGACCGGAATCGAATCTGGGACCCTTCAGTCCGCAGGCCGACACTCTATCTACTGAGCCAAACCGGTTTTGGCCCCAAGTACATTTATTTTAAAGCTTACCTTGAGCAATACGTCCTTCCCTGTTGTATTCCAAAACCAAATAAAATGTGCTGCCATGGGTTTTCTGTGCAGTAGTTAATCTTCACATGTAGCCATACTTTAATGCTAAACAGTGTTTATGTCAGGGCCCTTTCCAGTTCAGTATGTTTATTTTGTGTACTGAAAGGAACCAAGTTACACACAAGTGTCATTTTTTTTTTAATATGTAATTTCAGCATCTAGTTCTTCAAATATCAGTTCATGCAGCGCTATTAGTATGAGGGGCTATTACAAATAGGATTGCAACCCTATTCAGGAACCCAACATTTCTAAAAGAAGGCTTATTTTTTTCCAGGAATAATAATTTTTCAGGTGGTCCTTTTCCAAATAAATAACCATGTCTCTGCAATTCGGTTTTATTATCTAAACTGCTACTTCTGTTAAAACCTGCGGCACTTCTTGACGTAAGGTAATGGAGCTCTGAGGCTCTAAAACTTGTAATGGGGACAGTTAGAGATTGATCTTGAGTCTTATTTGTATGAAGAAAAATTATGTTATCTGCTTTGGGGATGTATGCACAAAGTAGGAATGTGGGGAAGTCATAGAGTTGCTTTAAAAAAAGGGACTAAGTTTTGGTGGTGTGTTTAAGAACTTAGCTTTTACCCTTCTATTTTAGAATGAGAATTACCAAATAAAGAACTAGGTTCACAAACATTCTTTGTTCCCCAATGGTGTCTTTGTACGTTTTTGTTATTGTTTTTTATGGTACTGCTAGGCCAAGAGGAATAACCTAGCGATTCATTGAGTAATTGGGTCCAAACAACTTAAGTATTTTGTCTTAGCAGCCTAGAAGCTCTTTGAAAAGCCAGTACATGAAAGAAAAATGGAGGTTCTTGTATAACCACAGTTACTGATGGAATGGAATGCCTTTTGGGTACTATATAATGAGATTGGATATTTACATCAGTGCCTGTTACCCATTGATTTTTTGTATGTGGGGAGGTACTTTTTTTAAATATAGCAATACCAAAAACTCAGCTTTGCAAAGATGCCACCTAATGGAGAGGGATGTAGCGCAATTTACTGTTTAAAATGAACCACTTAGTGTTGTTTTTTTCTTTTCCCAATTACAGTTTATAGTCAATATTATTTTGTACTAGAGATCCGAGGGGGAGGAGGGTCCTCTCAGCCCAGCCTGTGCCCTCACATTCCAGGACCCCTTGCTCCTTACTGCCTGCCTGCTCACTCACTGCTCAGCTCACTGCTCCTTAGTGCTGCTGCTGCTGCTGTGGAGGCGGGAAAGGTTCCTGCCACCCTGCCATCGCTGCTGTGCTCACTAGTGGTGAGCCCAGCTTCTGGCTGAGTGGCGCTCTCCCTGTGGGAGCGCAGTGACTACCAGGGTGCAGCTCCTGCATTGAGCGTCTGCCCCCTGGTGGTCAAAGTGCCATCATAGCGACCCGTTGTACCACTGATTGGTCCGCTATTTGGTTGATTTGCATATTAGGCTTTTATTATATAGGATTAATTTAAGGTGTATAGCATAGTGGTTAGATGATCATATACAAATGTTCTCGATACTTCATTACTTTATAAAATGTTCTTTTTTTTTTTTGTATTAACAACCATAATTTTATTTTTGCAATGAATTTCTGTGATTTAAAAGATGGTACTTAAAGAACAAATACTATACATATCTAGTTTAAAAAGGCATCTATATTTATAAGATGGGTGTCTCTAAAATATAGAGAAAAATTAAATTTTGCTTTTCTGAATGTCTGATACACTCAATAAACTAAAATACTCTTATAAAGAGCAGCTTTGTAATAATTATTAGAAACTATTCCACCAAAGACACTGTAGAACCAAATCTCAGTAATCTTCAGGGAAGATAGTTACAGTGACTTCAGGATCATCATCATTTTCAAGTTCTTTATCATTGTCTTCAGTAACACATTTGCCATCTGCTTTTTCTCGGTTTCTTTTTTTCTTATGAGAATATGAATTACTTTTCTTGATGATTTTCTCTTTGGGATATAAGTCAGTAATACTTTCTCTTTCCAAAGCATGTTGTAGGCAGTTGTAAAACCTTTCAATTCTCTTCTTGTTTTCCTCCATTTTTTGATTTGCTATCTCTAACAGGAAGTCGATATATTCCTCTGTCACCATCAGTTTTCCCTATGGCTTAATGGAACTTCTAAGCCATGTGTGCTCCGGACAGCCAACATCGTCTTTCCTCTCTTCCCCACTGTTATGCCAGAGTTCCTGAAACCAGAATCTATTGCCACCGAATGCAGAATCTGTGCATCCTGCAACTCTCGACACTGCACATGAAGAATAAGGGGTTCGAATTTCAAAGTGGCATCACCATTCGCTTTTTTCAGAGCTGCAATCACATCATCTTTTACACAAGGCTTGTGTGTAACTAGGAGCCAGCAACAGTTTTGTTTCTGAACCTCAAAGCCATTTATATTCGCATCTAGGAGGAGGATGCGCCCCGCGCAGGAGCTGGTGGTAAAAAATTGTTCTCGCCCATTCAGGAGCTGCACGAGCTCGGCCACATCCTCGTCCACGCTGCCCTTCCGGCTGAGGTCCCTATAAAATGTTCTTGATGTTGTCAGTACCCACTTGGTATCATACATAGTTATTATGATATTATTGACTATACTCCATATTCCCCTTGCTGTACTTTTTACATGCCCATACTACCAATTTGGTTTTTTGTTTTAACATATTTTACTGATTTCAGAGAGGAATGGAGAGAGAGATAGGAACATCAGTGATGAGAGAAAATCATTAATCGGCTGCCTCTTGAACAGCCCCCCTACTGGGGATCAAGCACGCAACCCAGGCATATGCTCTGACCAGGAATCGAACCATGACCTCCTGGTTTGTAGGTGGACGCTCAACCACTGAGCAGGCCTTCTTCCTGATTCATTGCTTCTTACTGTGCTTCTTACTGTATTCTCATAGCAATGGAAAGGGGCTAGGGCTAGAGATCTCTTCTGTATGATTTTTTTTTTTTTTTTAGAGCAAAGAATCAGATTTAATACAGGCAGTCCTCAGGTTACATTGCAATCGACATACGTTGCTTCCTGGTTATGTCGCTTCCTGGTTACGTCGCTTCCTGGTTACGTCGCCATCTCCCATTTACAGTATTTATTAAAAAAAAATTTCGTCATTTCGACATGTACATATGTGCTTTATGTTTTTTATTATTTATTTACCACAAGTAAAGATCAGGAATTGTTATCTTTCTTTTATTTTATTTTATTTTTTAAATATATTTTAGCCGAAACCGGTTTGGCTCAGTGGATAGAGCGTCAGCCTGCGGACTGAAGGGTCCCAGGTTCGATTCCGGTCAAGGGCATGTACCTGGGTTGCGGGCACATCCCCAGTGGGGGGTGTGCAGGAGGCAGCTGATCGATGTTTCTCTCTCATGGATGTTTCTGGCTCTCTATCTCTCTCCCTTCCACACCCCCCACTGGGGATGTGCCCGCAACCCAGGTACATGCCCTTGACCGGAATCGAACCTGGGACCCTTCAGTCCGCAGGCTGACGCTCTATCCACTGAGCCAAACCGGTTTCGGCTGTTATCTTTCTTTTAAATTTTTTACTGTTTCACTTCATTACTGCTGTGTATGTGCTCCATGTGAGTGACATAGGTGCTTATGTAGGTGGGTTCCAACTTAATGGCAAAAATCGCATTACGTTGCGCCGTAGGAAGGGATCTCTGATGTAACCCAAGGACCTACTGTACATATGTACGTATGAGAAGTTCACATGCAGGAGAGTTTCAGAGGTAGAAAGGGAACATGGATATATAAGGCATAAGGATGAGGTAAGATGCCGTGGGGGCTTCAAAAGGTCATTGCAGGATGATAAGATCAGACTTTTAGTAAATGGAGTTATGCTCTTCCCTATAGATAGGTCAAAAAGCTATCTCTGAAGGCCTCTAATTAATCATCTAGGCCAGTGGTTCTCAACCTTCCTAATGCCGTGACCCTTTAATACAGTTCCTTGTGTTGTGGTGACCCCCAATTTCATTGTTACAAATTTAACATAATTAAAGCATAGTGATTAATCACAAAAACAATATGTAATTATATATGTGTTTTCCGATGGTCTTAGGCCACCCCTGTGAAAGGGTCATTCGACCCCAAAGGGGTCTTGATCCACAGGTTGAGAACCGCTGATCTAGGCAGTCAAGGGTGGGGACAGAAGCTTCTCCAGACCTTGCTGCTAAAGTTGCCTTTTGTTCAAAACAATCTGCATTCTACTGGAGTCTCTTTTATGAGGTACTAATCCCATAAAGCTCTACCCTCCTCACATAAAGCACTTCCTTTTAAGACAAGTCTAAGGAATTTTAGTCAAAACTATAGACGAGACTTTAAAGTTATGCAAAATTTAATTACTTGAATTGACATAGCCCTGGTGTGGAGCTCTGAAGTTTTTGTCAGACGAGCTTGGGATGTCTCTTTTTAGGGTGTTTTTTTGTTTGTGTACTTGTAAGTAGTAGATTATAAGTATGCTGAGGTGAAAAAGATTTTTGCACCTATAAGTGTACTGCTATTAAAATGAATTAACAGACTTGAATAGTAGTTACAAATTTTGCCAATCCTGTATAATATCCTATATAATAAAAGCCCAATATGCTAAGTGTCTGACTGACCGTTCCACCAGTCACTATGACGCACACTGACCACCAGGGGGCAGACACTCTGACTGGTAGGTTAGCTTGCTGCTGGGGTCCGACCAATCGGGACTGGGCACGGGCCGGACATGCCCTGGAGCCCTCCCTGGCCCCGATTGTGCACCAGTGCATGAATCCGTGTGCGAAGCCTCTAATCTACACTAATAAAAGAGAAACATGCAAATTAGTGTCACTCTGCTGCTATGCCCACCAGCCAATCAGGATGAGTATGCAAATTAACCCAACAAAGATGGCGGTTAATTTGCATATGCGGACAGGGAGGGAAGACTGAAGAGGCTTGGCTTCTCCGCTGCAGCCAGAGTGGAGAAGCCAAGCCTTGCTGCTGTGGCCAGACCAAAGGCCTGGGTCCCAGGTGCCAGAGGAAAACTGGTGCCGCTGGCCAGGGGAAGGAAGGCCTATTGCGCGAATCTTTGTGCAATGGGCCTCTAGTGTTATTATAAAGTTAGATCCAATATAACTTAGGAGCTATGTTTAAAACTAAATCAACCTTTTTCTGGGTTAATGGGAGACAAAACATGTGATCCTCACTGAAGACAAAAGGATTTCATAAGTATTGAATTTCCCTTTCAAATGAGCGAATATATGTTTTATTATCGATTTAGGTTGTGTAGGGGTCCCCCCTTACATTTTTGGTGGTTTAGATCAGAGTCATCTAGTAAATATTAGGCTTTGCAGGCCACAAATATCTCTGCCCTGTTCTTGTTTTTACAACTTTAAAAATATTAAAACCATTTTTGGCTCCTGGGCCAACCCTGGTTTAGGTAATTTACACTTTTTCCCATGTCTTTTTTAAGAAATTGATTTGTGCGCGAGAGAGATCAATGTATTGTTCCACTTATTTATGCATTCATTGGTTCCTTCTTGTATGTGCTGTGACCAGAGATCAAACCCGCAACCTTGGCATGTATGGATGATGCTCTAACCAACTGAGCAAGCTGGCCAAGGCCTAATTTTTAAATTTTGTTTTTATTATTAGTAAAATGATTGTATTAGGAAAATTATTGTTTAATTTGCTAAGGCTGCCATAAGGAAGTACCAGAGACTAGGTGACTTAAACAGTTAATTTTTTTCACAGTTCTAGAGGGTGTTGGTCTGAGATCAAGATCAAGGTGTCAGCAAGGTTGGTTTCTTCTGAGACCTTGCTCCTTGGCTTTCCGTCTTTTTTTTTTTTTTTTTTATTTTTTACAGAGAGGAAGGGAGAGGGATAGAGAGTTAGAAACATCGATCAGCTGCCTCCTGCACACTCCCCACTGGGGATGTGTCCGCAACCAAGGTACATGCCCTTGACCGGAATCGAACCTGGGACCCTTCAGTCCGCAGGCCGATGCTCTATCCACTGAACCAAACCGGTTAGGGTGCAATCATTCTTTTTTGTTGTTAATCCTCACCTGGGGATATTTTTTCCATTGCTTTTGGGGGGGGGCGTAGAAGCTTGGGTGTGAGATGCTTAATTGCCTCCAGCAGATGCCCCAGTTGGGGAGGGGGGGAGGGCGGAAGCAAGCCCAAGACCCTAAAGCAGTGATGGCGAACCTTTTGAGCTCAGCGTGTCAGCGTTTTGAAAAACCCTAACTTAACTCTGGTGCCATGCCATATAGAAACTTTTTTTATATTTGCAACCATAGTAAAACAAAGACATATTTTTGATATTTATTTTATACATTTAAATGCCATTTAACAAAGAAAAATCAACCAAAAATATGAGTTCGCGTGTCACCTCTGACACGCGTGTCATAGTTTCGCTATCACTGCCCTAAAGTGTGAAGTATGATGCTCTAACCACGAAGCAACAGGGCTGCAGTCATTCTGATGCTCATATTTTGCCTTTGGCCACCGTGATAGACCTTAATTGTTGCCTCCGGGTCTGGCTGACCTCATTGATCTCACTAGCTTCATTTTCATTCAAATACAGATGTTTCAAGGTCATCTGCATTTCCCACTTGAGGTTATTTCTCTGTAGGAATCTTGGTTTCTTTTCGTTGGGTCACTAGGTTGTTCATTGCTCCAGATTGTTATCATTAGTGCTTTTTTTTTTTTTTTAATATATTGATTTTTTTACAGAGAGGAAGGGAGAGAGATAGTTAGAAACATCGATGAGAGAGAAACATTGATCAGCTGCCTCCTGCACATCTCCCACTGGGGATGTGCCTGCAACCCAGGTACATGCTCTTGACCGGAATCGAACCTGGGACCCTTCAGTCTGAAAGCCGACACTCTATCCACCGAGCCAAACGGGTTTCGGCTATCATTAGTGCTTTTTAAAAATAGGGCTTGCCCTAACCAGTTTGGCTCAATGGATAGAGCGTCGGCCTGCAGACTCAAGGGTCCCAGGTTTGATTCCGGTCAAGGGTATGTACCTTTGTTGTGGACACATACCCGGTAAGGAGTGTGCAGGAGGCAGCTGATCGATGTTTCTTTCATCGATGTTTCTAACTCTCTATCCCTCTCCCTCTCTATAAAAAAATCAATAAAATATATATTAAAAATAGGGCTTATCTGGTTACTTCAATTTGAGAGTCTATACTAGTCACTTAAAGTTTAATTATTAAATTTGCAAATATTTTCAGTTAATGACAACATGTTACCACATATTGAAAATACTGTTGGGGCAAGAAAAACTAGAAATAATGTGTGATCTATTCGTAAAACTAAATTGCTTGTTAGCTATATTAATATACAAACATTAGAAGTTGTGATTCTTGTGTTCACTCTAGCAGCACATACTCTGAAAAAAAAGTTGGGAATCCTTAGTCCATAGAAGTTTGGTTAGATACCTTTTTAGAGGCATTTAAAAAGTTCATGTTTTTATTTTGTTTAATTTACCAATAGATGCCTTAAAAAATAGATTTACCTTTGCGGATCTGCTGGTATTTAGACTTTGGAAACTGCCATCTGTAATTTTTAACCTCTATCATTCAGATCTGATACCAGTGTTCCAGAGTAGAGTGACTAGCCAAGTTTAACAGTAGGGCATGCAGGAGGCAGCCAAACTATGTCTCTCTTGATGGTTCTCGCTCCTGCCTTCCTCTCTATCTAAAAATCAATAAAAACATTTAAATGATAATTTAACAGTTGTGTAAAAATGTTGATGAGTAGTTGGTTGTAACTTTTATGTATAGAAGGGATTTAAATTACTACTCAGTTGGGTTGGGAATGTCAGCTTAGAAATAAAGCAATTCCTTTCAGTTGAGTTGATTTATGAGTAGTGTTTGAACATATAACTAGAATTTTAAACTTTTATTTTGAAATAATCTTAGGTTTACAGAAAAGTTGAAGTATTTATCACATATAATCTTTTTTTAAAAATATATGTTTGTTGATTTCAGAGAGGAAGAGAGAGATATGGAAACATCAATGATGCCCTCGCTGGTTTGGCTCAGTGGACAGAGCGTCAGCCTGTGGACTGAAGGGTAGTCCCAGGTTTGATTCTGGTCAAGGGCACATGCCTAGGTTGCAGGCTTGATCCCCAATAGGGGATGTGCAAGAGGCAGCCAGTCCATGATTCTCATCATTGATGTTTCTCTCTCCCTCTCCCTTCCTCTGAAATCAATAAAGATGTATTTTAAAAAAAGGAAACATGAATGATGAGAGAGAATCATTGATTGGCTGTCTCCTGCATGCCCCCTACTGGAGACAGAGCCCACAACCCGGGCATGTGCCCTTGACCAGAATTGAACCCGGGACCCTTTAGTCCAGCGGTTGCCAACCGGTGGTCCACGGACCCCAAAAGGTTGTCGACCACTGCTTTAGTTCTCAGGCTGACACTCTATCCACTGAGCAAAACCAGCTAGGTCCACAGGTAATCTTTTTTGACTGTTAATCAGCCATATTTGACTATATATAGCTTCTAGCGGTTTTTTAGCCATACTCTAATGGATGGAAAGAGCTCTAGACAGCTGACTCCATGAAGACAGGGGTAATACTATATTGCAAAGAACAGGAACACATGAATGATAAGGAAGAAGCAAATATTCCAGGTTGCTTCTAGTATGTATTGGATACATGTATAGATAGTATAAAGGTGAGGCTGTAAATAAATTCTTGTTGTTGTTGTTTATCTTTACCCGAAGACATTTTTTCCATTGACTTTTAGGGAGAGAGGGAAAAACACAAAGAAACATCAGTGTGAGAGAAACACATAGATTGGTTGCCTCTTGCATGAGCCCTGACCGGGGCCTGGGCCAGGGAGGAGCCTGCAACTGAGGTACATGCCTCTGACTAGAATCGAACCCAGGACCTTCTGGTACTCTATCCACTTAGCCAAACCAGCTAGGGCAAGAAGTTTAATTCTTTATCTAGTGTCATTATTTAGAATCATAGGAAGATTTGTTTGTCCAGAAACAAAATGGTTGCTTTATACGGTCAGAAAAAAAGCTGCAGGTGAGAACTTTTTTGAGAACAAGTATTGTCATTTCCCTTACTCCCCTCTCCCCCTTTTCATTGATTTGAGAGAGGAATGGAGAGAGACATCATTGTAAGAGAGAAACATTGGTTGCTTCCCAGCTGGGGATCAAACCCACAAACTGAGTTTGTGCCCTGATGGGAGTAGAACCTGCCACCTTCTGGTATACTGGGCAATGTTCCAACAAACTGAGCCACACCAGCCAAGGCCATTTTTCATTCTTTTAAATTCCTCCCACAGTTCCTAGGATTCACTGTAAGTTATAATGTTGAATACTACATATATCTCAGTTGATGGTGGATTAGTTCTTTCTGATGTTTTATTTCTGTGAATTGAATTTTAGGAGCAGAACCCTAAAGGAGTGGCTTATAAATGTTGACAGGGATACCTAAGTGGTTAACTCTACTTGAGCATTGTTTATTTTATTTTTAAATCCCTTTTTTTATAAAATCAGTGTCATTGTGCTTACTTGGAATGTAGCTGTTAGAGTAAAAATGTAGTTTCTGTTAGAAATTGTAATAAACTACCTCAAAATAATCAATGCTCTAATGGAATAGAAAAATTTGTTTCTTATGTGCTAAACTTGGGAGGTTATGTAAATATTTAGCTAATGAAGTCCAACTTAACTTTGTCTAATTTTATCTCTGTAGGCAGCCTGCTTCTGCAAAGTGGTACGATCGAAGGGACTATGTCTTCATTGAATTTTGTGTTGAAGACAGTAAAGATGTTAATGTAAATTTTGAAAAATCCAAACTTACATTCAGGTAAATTTCCATTTTACATAATTGGGCAAAACTTATTTTGGATAATTGAATAACTTTGGCTTGCTTGTTTCGTTTTTTCATTGAGGTTATATTAATCCTTACCTTTTCCAAGAGGCTCATTTAAAAAAAAATTTTTTCTCCCCACAGTTGTCTTGGAGGAAGTGATAATTTTAAACATTTAAATGAAATTGATCTTTTTCACTGTATTGATCCAAATGTAAGTAGTCTTGATGCTTTAATACTGATTTAAATCATGAGGAAGTGGACATATCTTTTTAGCAAGCACTAATTTCTGTTTTTCTTAATAGTTCAGAGGGCTAACTAGGTATATTTATATTTTGCGAAATTTTCCCTTTCTAACCACTTTTCTGTTTTCCCTTTCCAACCACTTTTCTGCATATTCTTTTTTTCTTATTTTCACTGTTAAGACTTGGCTATACTCTTGAGGCTTGTCTTATCTAACTATAGAATTTTTAAAATATATATTATTGATTTCAGAGAGGAAAGAAGAGGGAGAGAGAGAGAGGATAGAAACATCAATGATAAGAGAGAATCATTTACTGGCTGCTTCCTGCACACCCCATACCAGTGATTGATTCCGGCAATCTGTGCATGTGGCCTGGAATCGAATTTTGACTTACTGGTTCATAGGTCGATGTTCAACCACGCTGGCCGGGCTAACTATGGAAATTTTTAAAAACTCTTCTATGATTATGCGGGGAAGAAAAAAATTGTCCTTTTTTTTTTTTTTTTTTTATGCGATTGGATAGCTTATGAAGTTTTAAGTAGTTAGAGGATGTTTCTTTCAGAGTTTGGGAAAATGTAGGGAAAGAAATTAGAAAGGAGAGGTGAGGAATGAATGATACTGAAGAGATAAATGGTGTGATAGTGCTTTTGTTTTTGTTTTTAGGATTCCAAGCATAAAAGAACGGACAGATCAATTTTATGTTGTTTACGAAAAGGAGAATCTGGCCAGTCATGGCCAAGATTAACAAAAGAAAGGGCAAAGGTAGGTTTCTTTTTTTTTTGAAAGTTTCACATTTTTAAGTAATGAAAGATACATTTGTTTGGTATGAGCATAGTATTTGTTTCAAAGCTAAGTACTATTACAGCCTTGTGTTCTGTGTTTTTCTGTACGTTGACATATATTAGTTTTAACTTAAAGCCAAATGAGGTCAGAACAAGATCAATCTCTAGTTGATGGAGAGTCTTTGCATTCAAGAGGCAGACTCACATATTTTGGTGCCACTAAACAAAAAATAACCAGGTATAGCATAGTTTCTACCAATGAATTTTTGTTGTTGCTTTAAAAAGTAAGTTTGTTTAACAATTGAAAGGAGTTTCATAAAACTATATTTATGCTAATTCCATGGCTCACTAGTGGGTATGAATCCACAGTTCAAAAAAATGTAGTCTTAAGGCACATGCCAATGAGTGTAAGTTAACCTAATCACAGGATGATGTTTGTATTGATCTATAGCTTAATTGGCTTAGTGTGGACTTCAATAATTGGAAAGACTGGGAAGATGATTCAGATGAAGACATGTCTAATTTTGATCGTTTCTCTGAGGTAAGTTCTTTTAAATGCATTCTTCTGCCCTCCCTTCCAGTATATTTCTATGAAGTCAGTTTAGTTTGATTTTAAAGTACCTAGTGGTATTTAAGGCGTGTATTACTTTACCTCGAAAGCCAGTCTGCAATAAAACTAAATGAGGTTTTTAACAATAATCATTTAATCCTAAAATTTAACATTCTTTTACAGTTTAAAAAAATTTAGTGTTTAAGTTTTAAAGTTGATGTGTAAAGACAAAAAATAAACCATATAGTCAATCAATGCAGTACAGCTAGTTTTTATTACAACACTGGGAACAGATTTTTTTAGAAGCACGAATACAGTAACTGGCCTGTATTTTGGAGCCATGTAATACAAATGTAAACCTTTAAACACAAGAATCATGGTGGAATGTGCACGAAGAGTGATGAGTAAGGATATTATAGTTTGCCAGATCAGGGAAAGGGTTTGAGTAAGCCTGTTTTTTCCAAATACTTACTGCCCTGACCAAAGAAAAGAAGTCAATGATCTGCCTTTAGGTAGAATAGACCTTATCAAGTGTACTGCAGTAAAGGTAATCAGAAAAGATAACATTAAGCTCTAAGCCAGCGGTTCTCAACCCGTGGGTCACGACCCTTTTGGCGGTCGAACTAAGACCATCCTTTCACAGGGGTCGCCTAAGACCATCCTGCATATCAGATATTTACATTACAATTCATAACAGTAGCAACATTACACTTATGAAGTAGCAATGAAAATGATTTTATGGTTGGGTCACAACATGAAGAACTATATTTAAAGGGCCAGAAGGTTGAGAACCACTGCTTTAAGCTGAAGGTAGGCCCATGAAATCCATTTTGCATTGCAATTAGAAAATTTAATTCACTACATTCTGTTTACATTTCTTTTTTTCTTTTTTTTAAAAAATATATGTTATTGATTTTTTTACAGAGAGGAAGGGAGAGAGATAGAGAGCCAGAAACATCGATGAGAGAGAAACATCGATCAGCCGCCTCCTGCACATCTCCCACTGGCATGTGCCCTCAACCCAGGCACATGCCCCCGACCGGAATCGAACCTGGGACCCCTCAGTCCACAGGCCGACGCTCTATCCACTGAGCCAAACCGGTTTCAGCTGTTTACATTTCTTTTTGAAAACTAAGAGATAAAAGGAGTACATTTTCAGCTTCGTGTATGCAGCTGTTTATTAAACATTCCTCCTTACATGGCTCTGACACCTTAATTTCAAGAGGGAAGGAAGGATACTTGTGACTTTCCTCAACTATATTATTTCTTACCTGAAGTAATTGGTGCCACCATTTACCCAGCTGTGCAAGTCACAACTTCTTAATACTATTCTCTTTCACTGCCTCTCTATCCAATATGTTAACTGCATCTTTGTTCTTTTGTTTTACCTCCTAAATAGCTCTTGAATATATTCAGTTCTGTTTCTATTGTCATCGTATCCTCAGCACCACACATTGTACTTGGCACATATTGAGCATTTTTTCTGCTCTCAAAACTTTTTTTATTTATTTATTTTTAATATATTTTATTGATTTTTTTACAGAGAGGAAGGGAGAGAGAAAGAGAGTCAGAAACATCGATGAGAGAGAAACACCGATCAGCTGCCTCCTGCACATCTCCTACTGGGGATGTGCCCGCAACCCAGGTACATGCCCTTGACCGGAATCGAGCCTGGGACCTTTCAGTCCGCAGGTCGACGCTCTATCCACTGAGCCAGACCGGTTTCGGCTTTCAAAAAGTTTTAACTAAGGTGTTGAACATTGCCTTTAGACATAGGGAAACTTTGCTAGTTACTCATATTATTCAAGACTAGATTGCCCAGACTTCCTATACTGAGAGATTTGACTTAAGTATTTAACTCTAAAGTCCAAGGTAGCATATATATTTGAAGTCTTTGATTTTTGTTTACAAAGTTATAATGGTTGTGTAAATATTTAAAATTTTAAAAGTTTAAATATTACAGAAAAGTTGTAACTTGGAGAGATAAGTCCCTCCCTATCAGACCGTAGTTCTATCTTTGGCTATTTGTACCTCTTTCAATAACACACTACTTGATTATGATTGGAAACAGATAAAGATGGGAAATTAGTACTTCATGTAAGCATGTTTCGTTGTTAGCTCCATTTTATTATAAGTATATGAAGGTATATATATAAGGTTATTTTCTTGTATATATAATTGATATAAAGTCTTTTAAGAATTATGTTCGTATTTCACTTAGTTACTATTTGACCTTGGATTCCATTTTCAGGCCTTTAATACAAACTAAGCATCCTGAAAGACTTTATTTTAAATCATTTATTGGTTCTTCACAGTATTTAAAACTGTAACGAGAATACCATAATACATATGTCAGTCAGCTTAGGATACAAAACTTTACAACTACAAATGAATCCCATTCTTATCCATCAGTGGTAACTGCTATTTAGGATTTGGGTGTTTAATTTCTGTATCATATATATATATCTTGCTGGATGAATTTTAATAACTTCATCTTCCTGCAATGAGAATTTAGATTTAACTTCCCTATAAGTTTTCAGGATTTTATATACAATTACCTATAATCTTTCCAGAAAGGAAGGTACTTAAATGTTTTTTTGCTTTTTTTGTTGGTGGAAATCTATGGCAGACTTAAGGTTTATTCTGGAGCGTGCCACCTAATAATTAGGGCTTAATTTTTTTTTTTTTAATATATTTCATTGATTTCTTAGAGAGGAAGGGAGAGGGATAGAGAGTTAGAAACATCAATGAGAGAGAAACATCGATCAGCTGCCTCCTGCACACCCCCTCCTGGGGATGTGCCCGCAACCAAGGTACATGCCTTGACTAGAATCGAACCCGGGAACCTGCAGTCCACAGGCTGTGGCTTTATCCAGTCAGCCAAACCAGTTAGGGCAATTAGGGCTTAATATAACATCATTTTTAAAACTAATTTTTACTTCAAATAGATGATGAACAACATGGGTGGTGATGAGGATGTAGATTTACCGGAAGTAGATGGAGCAGATGATGTAAGTCTATAAATTCTTTTCTTTATTTACTTAAATAGTAAGAAACAATCTTACCTAATAGACAAACATGGTAATTGACCATACCTTCACTATGCCTCCCATTGGCTCATCAGCAAGATATGCAAATTAACTGCCAGCAAAGATGGTGGCCGGCAGCCACAGAGCTGAAGTGAGCAGGAGGCTTGCTTGCTCCAGTGATGGAGGAAGCCAAGCTTCCCCGCCTGCTGCGGCCCGGCTCTGAGCTCCGAAAGCAACAAAGTTTCAATTATAGAAGCTAAGCAAACCCCAGATACCTGCTTTCAGCAGGCCGTAGCCACGGAGCTGAAGCGCAGGAGGCTTTCCCTCCCACCCCCACTGGCTGGCTCTAAGCTCCACTCAGGCAACAAAGTTTCAATTATAGAAGGTAAATAAACCCCAGATACCTGCTTTCAGCTGGCTGTGGCCATGGAGTTGGAGCCTTGGGTTGCTCCTGGTGATGGAGGAAGCCAAGCCCTGGCCAGCTCTGAGCTCCACTCCAGGCTACAAAGTTTCAATTATAGGAGGTAAATAAATACCAGGAAAAAAAAAAAAAAAAAGGAGAGGCTGGGAGCTTCTGTCGCTGGGGAGGCTTGGCCAGCCTGAAAACGGCCCTCAGCCCTTCACCCAGACTGGCCAGGCACCCCAGTGGGAACCCCCCACCCTAAAGGTGGTGTGGCCAGCCTGCAAACAGCCATCAGCCCCTCACCCAGGCTGGCCAGGTACCCCAGTGGCACCCCAGTGGGGACCCCCACCCTGAAGGGCAAACCAGCCGGCCCCCACCCATGCACCAGGCCTCTATCCTAAATAATAAAAGGGTAATATGCAAACTGACCCTAACAGCAGAAAGACTGGGAATGACTGGTCACTAAGACACACGCTGACCACCAAGAGGCAGACACTCAATGCAGGAGCTGTCCCCTGGTGGTCAGTGCGCTCCCACAGCGGGAGCTCTGCTCAGCCACAAGCCAGGCTGACGGCTGCCAGTACAGTGGTGGTGGTGGGAGCCTCTCCCGCCTCCTCAGCAGCTCTGATATCAGACTGCAGTTTAGGTCTGCTCTCCACTGGCAAATGGACATCCCCCGAGGGCTCCTGGGCTGCCAGAGGGATGTCTGACTGCCAGCTTAGGCCTAATCCCCCCAGGGAGCGGGCCTAAACAAGCAGGTGGTCATCCCCCGAGGGGTCCCATACTGCTAGAGGGCACAGGCCAGGCTGAGGGACACCCACCCTGTGCACAAATTTTTGTGCACCGGGCCTCTAGTGTATTTATAAGTTGTTTGATATATAGTCAAGATTTTTTTGTGTGCTTTTTGATGTTTGTTTTTTTGTTTTTTTAAAAAAATATATTTTTATTGATTTCAGAGAGGAAGTGAGAGGGGAGAGATAGAGAAACATCAATGATAATAGAGAACCATTAATCGGCTGCCTTCTGCACACCCCGCACTGGGGATCGAGCCCACAACCTGGGCATGTGCCCCTGACTGGAATCGAATCCGGGACCCTTCAGTCCACAGGCCAGTGCTCTATCCACTGAGCAAAACCAGCTAGGACTTTGTTTGTTTTTAATATAGGGTAAAGCACTTTTTAAAATGTGCCCATTTTTGAAGGATGGTTACCTACTAGGGAACTGGTGTCTAATGGGCCATTCTTAAAGAGACTAGATTTCAAAAGAATCAATGCATGGAGACATCATATGCCTTATTCAATTAAGAGTTAGTTTAGGGATTATTTTTACAAAGTTAAACAGGTTTTATAAAAGTGAATTGGTCAGAGATTAAGTAAACATATGGACATTGTGAATCTGTAAGAGAATATACTGGGTTACTCTTCTCAACATTCCCCTCTGGCATTCTGTTAACATCGTTAAGAAATTTGTTCAATGCAGTAAGGAAAATACTTACTTAGACAATTCACCAGCTACGATTAGACTTTATTGTCTTCTATCAGTCCAGTGGTCTTTGTATTGAGCCATTTTCTTTCATTGAATGTCAAGAGAGAAGAGAAACCATTTTATACCAAGATTCAGCCTGGTTGACAGCGATTGAAAAGGATGGACTCAATTCCTACCAAAAGACACACATCATCCTCAGCTGTCCATCTATAAACCCATTCTTTTTTTTTTTTTTTTAATATATTTTATTGATTTTTTACAGAGAGGAAGGGAGAGGGATAGAGAGTTAGAAATATCTATCAGCCGCCTCCTGCATGCCCCCTACTGGGGATGTGCCTGCAACTAAGGTACATGCCCTTGACTGGAATCGAACCTGGGACCCTTCAGTCCGAAGGCCGACGCTCTATCCACCGAGCCAAACCGGTTAGGGCTGTAAACCCATTCTTAAGTCAGTTGATTAAATTAATAAGCTTGATTTAACCACCTATCTTTGCTACGTGAGTGAAAACTACAGTGCTTCAGCTTTTTAAGGCAAACTTTTCAGTTAGCAAAGGAATGTTTGATCAACTTGGTAACTTTTTTCTTTATTTCCCCTCTGCAGGATTCACAAGACAGTGATGATGAAAGTAAGTGTCTTTGTAAAAATGTTTTGCACAGTAATATTTCACATTAAAGACCACAACTATTAAAATAAAGAAATTGACTTCTTTATAATTCTTAGAAAAATAATAATTATTTCTTTATGGCCTCTAATAAATAGCCAAAGCAGAAATTTGAATGAATTGAGATTCAAATTTAAAAAGTAGGCAACTATTTAACTCTCTCTGGCTGCTTTCCCTATAAGACTTTGACGTTGATGGATTACTTCTTTGTACTTCATACTAATCTTGTTAAAATCCTTTCAGAAATGCCAGATCTGGAATAAGGAATGTTGTCGTCCCTGGATTTTGAGAAAGAAAAATAACTTCTCTGCAAGATTTCATAATTGAGAGAATTCCTGAGTTGATAGCTCTAAAGGCAGATGCTGCATTTGCCTCCTTTAACCCATTTTTCAACCTGTTTGTTTTCTTAAAGGCTTCACTAAGGGTTGATATGTACCATTGTATGGGGCAATTTTAAGTCAGCTAAGGCAATAACCTTATGCATGAACATTTCCCAGACTTCCATGATGCTGTTAAAGTCCTAGACAATTGATACAGCAGTTGTGATAAATAAAAACATTTCACCTAAGTCTCCTTTACTTCATAACATAGATACTGACATGATAGGAAGCTCTTGGATTATGGAAAGATAACTTTTAGATTTTAGAACATGGACTCAACCTGGCTGAAACAAATGGATTGATACCTTAAACTGGTAACCTGTTGTTCCTCTGGTATATTCTTCAGGATTGTTCCACTAAAGTTTTATTTTTCAAAAAATTTACTTCACATTATTGTACATAAGTGATCACTTGTCAGTGTTCCAAATGTATTTTAGCTAAAACTAGTGAATGCCCTAACTTAGATGGTTTTTGAAGCCTGTACATTTGGTATTGTTTGACCCTTAAACTTTTACATCTCTTAGCATGGAGGACAAAGAAAGGCTGTACATTGTTGCTTGAGAGTCTGTACATTTAGACCAAATTTGTATTTGCACTGTCAGTGGCAAATGAGTGAAAAAATGGTATTACTACACTATTGGATTTTTTTATTTCTTTTTTTTTTTTTTGATCCAGCTTGTACCAGGGCTGAAAACCTCAATTTATGTTCATGACAGTGGGATTTTTTTTAATGTCTACATTCTTTCTAATAAACTGTTGGAAGACTTCTTGGTTGTCCTTTTAAGTGTCTGGTTTACTGTAATTTTATGTATTACTATCTACTGGAATGGAGTTATTTTTACTTGAGGAAGAATTTGGGGATATTTCTCTGTTTGGAAAAAAAAGGCTTGCTATATAATGTCACAGGAACCTTTTAAAAGTGGATCTGTAATAGCAAATTGTAGATGCACTTCTCAGTAGTTGGAAAAGAAAGTGTTGTGATTTGATTGAAATAAAACTAAATGTGTTGTCCTCCTAAATCTTTGAGCTTCTGCATTTTGGCAGTTTTTTATTCCCTTCAGCTTCTGTGTATTTGTCATAGCATAGAAATGCTTCATATTTCAGTACTTCTTTGTATCAGACCTGTGTTGCAGGAAATGTTAAGTGCTGGGGATACAAAGATTAATCATTCAGGTGATTGCTGTGTTCAGAGCTCACAGGCTAGGTCGGGGGGACAAATATTGGACAAAAACTTGGTAAATTGGAAGTGCAGTAATAGATATAGATACATCATAAAACAACCTTCTTTCCTTCCCCTGTTATGGCTGTTCAAAATGATATTCAACACCATATTCTTGAAAGGCTACAATGAGAAAAATTTTCCTGCATTTTAGGAGCCCTTGACATTCAACAGTTGACATTCAACTCTGTTATGTTACAGGAGTAACTCGGGTTCTGATTCTACTAAGGGATTGCAATTTCCTCAGAGCCATAGGTTTTTCCGAATTGGGAGATATGTTTGAAATTTTAACATGGTTTTCTTGCTTTGGAGCATGCCAACATTATCAGTATAACTGAGAAGTCATGCAGTTCTTAGCTTCAGGGGAGGGCTTAATAAAACCCCCAAATCCTATTTTTAGTTTGATTCTCTTGAAAAACTATTTTTGAGGGTTGAGGATCAAACCATTTTTTATTGAGCGTCAGGGAAGGATTGAAAGGCTAGGATGACAATGAGGTCCGAGATCCTCAGCCAGCTGGGATCTCCCCAGTTTTATAATTGCCAAAAATGGAAAACTTTTTGTGTGTCAGATATGGAAGTTAAAGAGTTTTATTAAGGATTCATTGGCTTTCTGCCAGCCACTAGGCTATATAGCATTAAAGTATAGCTTGATGGATTTCTGATTCCATCTGTCTTTAAAGGTTCTTTAATTTTAAAAATCTGTGTTAAAACGTTTGAATGGTTTTAAGTTTGAATGATAACATCTATTATATTTTTTGTACATTTTGATATGCAGTGATAAAAGTGCTATATTCAACTTCTTAAGCTGTTAAGTTACCTTCAAGGAAGGGGAAAACAATTAGTTGCTATAGTAGCACAAAGATTTTATTTACCAACTTAGTTTTGGGGCTAGTTTTAATTTCTGTTTAGCAGGAATCCTTTTGACAAGAAACAAGTGATAATGAACTGACCTTATATGCCAAACAAAGCTGTTACCCATGCCTCACCCAGCATTGGACCAGACTTGAGATCATAGGCTGGGATGGAGAGAGGAGGCAGGTACCTTGTCTACTGTAACCCCTAAATTATTTTATCTTTGTATATGCTTTTCAGGCCTGTGGACTTAGACATTAACCACACATGATTGGTTATTGGATGTATATCACCACAAATCTCTACCCTTTAGGACACCTGACATGATTCAGTAAATACATTTCAGGTATATTATAGTGTGGGTAATGTTTTGTGAGTGGGTCTGGAGGTAAGGAAACAAGTTAGTGCAAGAATTTAAATGGCGCCAAAGCCGGTTTGGCTCAGTGGATAGAGCGTCGGCCTGCGGACTGAAGGGTCCCAGGTTCGATTCCGGTCGAGGGCATGTACCTGGGTTGCGGGCACATCCCCGGTGGGAGATGTGCAGGAGGCAGCTGATCGATGTTTCTCTTTCATCGATGTTTCTCACTATCTCTCTCCCTTCCTCTCTGTGAAAAATCAATAAAATATATTAAAAAAAAAAATTTAAATGGCAAAAGGTAAACTTAGGTACTAGCAGAGAGATCTGGAGAGGCAGATCCCAGAGATATGTAGGTGGTCAAATAGGGTTTGGTGATAACATTTAAGGCTGCCAGTCTGCTTTTTTTTTTCCCCTTTCCTTTTTTTTTTTTTTTTTAATTGATTTCAGAGAGGAAGGGGGAGAGAGAAACATCAATGGTGAGAGAGTCATCGATTGGCTGCCTCCACACCCTATACTGGGGATTGAGCCTGCAACCTTGGGCATGTGTTCTGAGCAGGAATCAATTTGACCTGGTTCATAGGTCAACGTTCAACCACTGAACCACACCAGCTGGGCTTGCTTTGCTCTTAATACTTAGCAGTCTTTTCCAAAGTGAAAAACAAACCATGTCATTTGCTTTTAAGTTACATTGTCAACCTGGATAATTTCATTGTTTATGTGAAGAACCTATCTAAAACTCTGGCCTAAATTTCTTAGCCTTGTATCAGTGACCTTTACTTGCATACTATATTTAGCAGCCCATCCCCTTGGCTGTATCATGATGATCCTAAAGTCAGGAGTGGGATAACTATAAAGCTGCTTCCCCTGCAACTAATAGCTTTCATGAGGAGTATACCAGTCCTTCAACCGTTGTTCTTTTCTCACAGCTAATTAGCATTTAGCTCTGGTTCCTTCCCTATCTCTAGCCCTCTGCCTCATCTTGAACCTGGTGGTTCTCAGCCAAAATCATGGGGTTCTGATAATGTGGATTCCTAGGTCTCGACAAAGGCTTTATTAGGTGCATGTTGGGCCCAGAAATTTGCAATTTAACTGATACTTGAGATCAGTGAAGTGTGGTCACCAGACCAGCAGCATCAGTCCCACCTAGAAATTGGTTAGAAATGTAAATTCTGGGCCCCCAAACAGACTTTTCAATGAGAAACTTGAGAGGGTAAAGTCCAGTAAGCTATCTTAAGCCTTCTAGGTGATTCTGATTCAAAGTTTGACAATCACTGTTTTAGAGAACTCCATCTAGCTAGTGATTACCAGATGCAGGTAGTTCCTGGTCCACTCATGGGAAAATAAATCATTAAATTCTTTTCTAAATATATTTTTACTTTTAATCTTTTTTAAAAAATTTTATTGATTTTTAGAGGGAGTGGGAGAAAAACATCGTGAGGCAAAACATCCATCACTGCCTCCTGCATGCCACCTATTGGTGATCCAGTCAGCAATCTTGGATGCCCAACCAACTGAGCCACACCGGTCAGGGCTTTATTGATTTGAAAGAGAGAAACATCAATTTGTTCAACTTATTCATGCACCTGCCAGTTGATTTTTTTAAAAAAATTTTTTTTTAATATATTTTATTGATTTTTTACAGAGAGGAAGGGAAAGAGATACAGAGTTAGAAACATCGATCAGCTGCCTCCTGCACATCTCCCACTAGGGATGTGCCCGCAACCCAGGTACATGCCCTTGACCGGAATCGAACCCGGGACCCTTCAGTCCACAGGCCGACGCTCTATCCACTGAGCCAAACCGGTTTCGGCATTTTTTTAAAAAAATTTTTTGAGAGAGAGGAAGGGAGAGGGATAGAGAGATAGAAACATAAGTGAGAGCGGAACATCATCAATTGGCTGCCTCCTGCACGGCCCCTTCTGAGGATTGAGCTTGCAACTGAGGTACATGCCCTTGACCAGAATCGAACCTGGGACCTTTCAGTCTGCAGGCTGACGCTCTATCCACTGAGCGAAAAACCAGCGAGGGCCTACTGGTTGATTCGTGCATGTACCCTGACCAGGGATCAAACCCACAACCTTGGCATATTGGGACAACTCTCCAACAGAGCTACCCAGCCAGGGCCTCATTAATCAAATTCTTACCTAATGATGGGGGAAATCCTTCTAAGCATAATACAGAAAATCTAGAAGGTAAAAGTAAAAGTTAACAAATCTAACATTAAAAATTACATGCCGAAACTGGTTTGGCTCAGTGGATAGAGCATCAGCCTGTGGACTGAAGGGTCCTGGGTTCGATTCCGGTCGGGGGCATGTGCCTTGGTTGCGGGCATATCCCCAGTGGGAGATGTGCAGGAGGCAGCTGATCGATGTTTCTCTCTCATCGATGTTTCTAACTATCTCCCTCTCTGTAAAAAATCAATAAAATATATTTTTAAAAAAATTACATAGGGCCCTAACCGGTTTGGCTTAGTGGATAGAGTGTCTGCCTGCAGACTGAAAGGTCCCAGGTTCGATTCCGGTCAAGGGCATGTACCTTGGTTGCGGGCACATCCCCAGTAGGAGGTGTGCAGGAGGCAGCTGATTGGTGTTTCTCATCGATATTTCTAACTCTCCCTCTCCCTTCCTCTCTGTAAAAAATCAATAAAATATATTTTTAAAAAAATTACATAGGTTGCCCTGGTCGAGTAGCTTGGTTAGAGCACTTACCTGATGCTCCAAGGTTGTGGGTTTAATCCCCGGTCAGGACACATAAAAGGATCAACCAGTGAATGCATAAATAAGTGGAACAGCAAATCAATGTTTCCCTTCCTCTCTAAAAATTAATTTAAAAAAACTACATAGGTCAAAGGTACCATTAGGTTAAAAGATAAGTGATAGAAGAAAATACTTAAGACATTTAACAGCATTTGAAGATCACAATCACTATGACAAGGTAATAGGGGAAAAATGGGAATTCACTGAAGAAATAAATGACCAATAAACATGAAAGAATTCCAGGAATTTGCAATTTAACTGATACTTGAGTTCATTAAGTTGTGGAAATGCAAGTATAATCAAAGTAATTTTATTCATTTTTAAAAATTCCTCACCCAAGGATATGTTTATTGATTTTAGAGTGAGAGAGGAAGGGAAAGATTGATGTGAAACAGACACATCAATCAGTTGCTTCCTGTTTGTGCCCTGACTGGGAATCAAACCCATATCCTTTTGGTGTATGGGTCAACACTCCAACCAACTGAGCCACCCGGCCAGGGCATAATTTCATTCATTTAACAATAGCCACAGTTAAAAGTTTTGGCAAGGATTCTAGGGATCTAGTAAATTAGCAAGATGGTTTTAGAAGGCCATTTGGCAGAATCTCATTTAAACGAACATAATTTTAAGCCATTTTATTTCTAGGATTCTACATTTAGTAGATTCCTGGCCAAGTATGTCAAACTCACAGCCGTCAGGCTGCATGCGAGTTTGACATACTTGGTGTACACAATGACGTATGCAAGCTCTCTTGAAAATTCAATATTACATGTAATAGCCACATTGACACAATCCAAATGACCATTAATGGAGTGTACTCATGATCGGTAAAGT